TCATTTAAACTAACATAATCATCCTGCTGCAACCAGGTTTCTGTAAATCAGAGTAAATCAATTTGTTGATGAATAAATTATTAACTCATGTACTATGAGTTATACAGACTATGACTACCTCCCAATCACTAGAATGTCCACCCATCTTTAACTGATAAGAAAAACAGGCTCCAGAGTAGCCTTGCAGGACTGGTCCACTTGTTAGCAGCACCTGCCCTCTTTATTGGGCACTTGTTAAAAATTCTATTCATTTTAGAAGCCTGGGTGTGCTGCCTTACCTTTCAGAAAAGAGTGGTTGGAGAGAATGAGCACAGCTGAATTTATCTCTAATCCGAATTGTTAATAATAACCCAACAGGAATTCAGTGGAAATATGGTGAAATTGAAAGTCCTTCTGAATTAAGAATTCAATCCAATAATTTGAGGAAGAAAAGCCAAAAATACAGAGGCAATTTGTAAGTCGACAGTTTGGGCAGCAGTTTGATCTCTCTTAGCAACACTCAATACACACTATACTTTTTTATTGTCTTTACAATAGACAGTATAAACTTGGTGTTCAGTAAATTAAGCTAAGCAATTTCATCTTAAATGCAAGTTAAAATCTCTGCTACACTTGATGTAACGTAAATGATTATGAGCACTGCAGTCACTGTAAGGCAGTCCAGCACACAGCTTTACTGTGAATTCACCACACTAACACAACCTAACCTGTTTATCCTTGACAAAACTAACCAGTATTCTCATGCAACGTTCGAATTCACAAAATAAGTATAGGTTAGTTTTTTTGCAGGAGGTTTAACAATACCTAATTTATCAAACACACCGCATACAAAACCAATATGTGATGAAAATTATGGCATTATATTTAAGCTTCCAGGTTTATCAAACACAACTGTGCAGTTATTGTGTTTGAATCTCTCATTCCTCTCGTGCTCTGTCTTTCTTATCTTTCTCCATCTCTGAGTGCCTTTCGTTGCTCTCCCTGTGTAATACAGCAGCTGGACCTATAGCTGCAACACACTGTGAGACAACAGCTGCACTCTTTCTTGCCTACTTTAACCATTGAAACTAAAGTAACAAGTCTATAAGAAGTATAAAATACAGCTATTTGTTTTAAAATACAGGGACTAAAAGTAAAAAGTTGTCAAGATAATAATTACAGATACTTGAAAATTCTACTGTAGTAAGGAACGATTTGCACTTAATTACTGCCCAGCTCTGATTTTCATGTTCTTATATTGGTCAACCTAATATAATTATATCTACCTGATTATATTCTGATCTGTGTTAAGCGCAATTCACTATCAGCAAAATCACATATGAATCACAAATCTGTGTTTAACCGTT